GAGAGAGAGAGAGTACTTTTAACGACTCGACTCCACTCCCTGGGATAAGTCTTCTCAGGGATGATGGCTGCTCCTGCTGAGATCGTTCCGCGCCGTTGGATGCACCAGCGATGTCGCAGCGCAGAAGCTGGTATGGATGTTGAAGAGACCCAGATAGGAAAGGAATCCGATATGGACGATGCAGACGTACTTTCCGTACTTTCCTTTTTCGTCTATGTATGCCTCACATAATATGCCATGTCTTCCTCCATCCCCTCCCCGCAAACAATAAAGGCTATATAGCTCATATACTCCTGGAAATCCCTCCAGCCACTGTTCCCACAAGTCTACAAGTCCACAAACTGAATTCCCCAAGTGGCTGCTCGTCGTACTCGAGTAAGAAATCAGTATGGCCGTGCATTTTTATCTTCCATGGAAGAGCAACATGATCGCCGAGAAAACTTCTAGTGTGAGGGCCTACGGTAATTGCACCACTCGCCATCCACCAACATTTTGAATGCATATGGACGTCAGCGCTGTCCGAATGCATTCAAATATTGGCGGAGGGTGAGTTGGTGGCACTAGTAGTGAGTCGGGACTGAGAGTAAAAAAAAAAAAAAAAAAAGTAGGGACTGAGAGAAACAGGCAGACGGAGTCTCAGAGCACGGTCGGACAGAAGAAAGAGGAGAATGCATGAGGCCAGATGGGAGCGCAAAAACGTCCACATTCAGCCGGAAATGTCCATGCAGGGTGAGTAGGTGGTACTAGTAGTGAGTAGGGACTCTGAGAAACAGACAGTTTAATATCTGATCCGTGGTCCATCGGGCCACATTAAAAAAAAAATAATAATAATAATAATAATAATAAAAATGATGAAACAGATTGATAGGGTCCTTTTTACTGCCGTTTCTTTTTTTTTTTTAACTACCAGGCGCATTCACAATTTGACTTCGCTGGACGTATCTAACCGCAACACAGACAAGATTCACTCGAAAAAGTGACAGGGAGAGTACATCCCACTCAGGCTTGTAGTTGTTCACCCGACCACGCTGGCTTTTTTTTTTTTTTTTTCCTTGAAAGTTCAGTGATGTGACGATGTGCCAAAATTTTACGGTCTTTAATATAATAAAAAAAAAAGACAATGTGCCAAAACCACGTTGGCCTTGGCACAGTGTCACATCACTGCATTTCGAAGGGTGGGGGAAAAAAAAACGAAAAGGAAAAGAAGTTCAAAAGAAAACAGAAAGGTGGGAAAAAAAGAAGGGTAGTCTTACCGTCTTCCCCTGAGCATAGCGCACCCTCGTCGGGACTGTATCGGGGCGGAAATATCGCCTACATACATTCATTTCATGATGAGCGCACGTTGTGTTCGCGGGAGACGGTAGCGTGGAGGCATGTAATAGCTGGTTACTGTCTTCACCCGAATAGAACGCCCGGTCATTATAACTGGATTTGGGCCAACTGTCTGTCCAGATACAGTGGCAGTGACCGGTCGTTCTGTTCGGGTGAAGATAGTCGTACTCTACTCGGAAACGTCGCGTCCCTCGTCGACCAACCCTTCAGCTAACACCTCGGGCTGAATCGGGTATGCTTGAGTCAAACTGAATCATCAATTGAATAAGGCCGGGATTCGACCCACATACGTCCAGACAATATGCTTGTGAAGATCGTGTGATCCAGTTTTGCTTGTCGTCTGACTGATAAAATTCCAGTGACAATTTCTTCTTCCTTTGGTTAAATTGTCAAATTGGACCATTTGGTCCATTTCTGGATGTGTTCAGCCCACATCGACGTCCGAATTCAAGCCAGATACGTCCGTAAAGGGGGACTCTTCTTCACAGCAGTTGCATGCCATCCCCATGAACTTTATGCACAGGACAAATCGAGATAAAATAAAGAAAGTAGATACCGCACAGGACAAATCCAAAGGAAATAGAAAAAAAAGACATGCGGCTGATGATGCCACATGACTAGGATGAGAGTCTTGTAGTCGGGGCCGCAGGCCCACACAGCGCCGGAATCAAGTCGGGTGGGTGCCACACACCGCGGGAATCATGTAGGGTGGGTGGGACGGCTTCGCCAAAATAGGAGAGGGAAAACGAGCTCTCTTCCCAATGAGTGGCTGACTGCTTGATGTGATTGTGACAGGTTTGCTTCGCAACCTGCAGTGACCTGTCCTCAGCCGGTTACATATACTGTCTCCGCGCAAGGAAATGGCAGCGGCGGCCGTCGGCCCACTGAGGCGCAAGGAAATGGCAGTGGTAGGCGGCCGTCGGCCCAGTGAGGCCCTGCTGCATCCAGGGTGAGTTCCGGTTGACTTCTGATCCCAAACGTGGATGCTGGGAGAGAATACAATCCCACCGGAACCGCCCTGATGAGAGGAGAACTGGGAAACTGTCCCAACCGTGCGTGGAGAGTCCTCGGGCGAAGAGGTGAACTGCTGAAAAGGCATTTGGGTTTCGAGAGGCCGTACGTTGAGGTACTGGCCTCCGTGCCCAACCTGTAAGGCAGACGTAGGACAACTCCTGCACAGGACAAAATTAATCCAAATAGAATAGAAAAAAGTCATGCTGCTGATGATGCCACATCAAAGGGGTTTTCACCGTGGGGGACATTTGGGACTTCAAACGGGGAGCATGGAAAACGGCTGTTCAAATGAAAGACCAGCTGAGATATGTCAGACAAAGGGAGCAAAAGCTCGAACAGCTCCAACTTTCCTCCAAGAAGCCATACCTCTTGCATGGATCCCGCCCCTGAAAAAAGGCCCCTCGATTGAACAAGGGGACTGGGTGCTTAAATGGCCCCCAACTGGTCCCCCAAAATTTGCAAGGTGGCAGAAGTAAATGGCCCCCAACTGCTCCAACAGCCCGGCTGGAAGCATACGACATAACCTCCCCGGGGACCGTATGCTCTGCGTTGCAAAGAAACCAAGAACAGGACACGGTCCAAAACTGGGCGAGACTGGTTAGAGTGCGGGTGATACAAAGATCAGACCGTTCCCACTTCGTGTTTCAGCCCGGCTCTCCTATCTCAGCCCTCCCTTTTGACCCGGCGGAATGGCATTGGCCCCAGATCGGAGCCGCTGCCCCGGTCAAACCATGGGACTACACGGTCAAACAGGGATACCGAGCCCTGCATAAGATGCAGTCCTCAAGCAAGACAGTGCAAAAAAGGTGGGAGAAAGATTCGATCTTACCGCCAAGGGACCTGGCGGATTTCAAATGGGCCAGATATTCGCACATAATGTCGACATCCCATCGGGCACTCCAATGGCAGATATTGTATCGCTATCTACCCACCCCAGACTGGCTCGTCTCGAGGACTGATCTGGAACAAAAAGGCCTCCTTTCACCTATCTGTGGCTACTGCGATTGGTTTTCCCAACCCTCCCGAGCCACGTTGGAGCACTGCTTGCTGGGTTGCCCCATGGTGACCCAGATTTGGCGATGGTGGGATGCGGCTCGGACTGTTCTTACCGGTTCTCAATTCCCGTGGGACACGAAATTTCTGCTCCTGGGAAACCCGTCGACCCCCCCGCTTGATTGGTCCCCGTACGAGAGGAATCTGTTTCATACCACAAGACTGGAACTCTTGATGCTAGCCTGGAGGGTGCGCTGCTCTTTTGAGAGAAAGTAGCACAACTTCACCGCCCCTCACGCAAAAGAGCACCTGTCACAATGTCTCATAGGGAGGGTGAGGGCAGTGTGGGAACACACCAAGCAACGAATCCAAAAAATTAAGGACGACCCCGTCCTCACAGCTGTACAAAAACAGAACAAGGAGCTGGAACTGACGACCGCTTTTGCGGAAGACTGGCTTGGCTCAAAGAGAGCTATGGCGGATCTTCAAGACTCCCAGCTCCGATGGAAGAACTGGAGGACTGACGAACACAAATGGTCCCTCAAACCTTATTCTCACTTCGTAATCCCATTCGCGGCAACCCCCCCATCTTTTGTCCTCCTCCCGGGATAAACCGACATACGCTCCTCTGCCCCCTACCGCTGCCCACCCACCCCTCTCTCCCCCCTCCCACTGCCCACCCTCCCACCGCCCCCCCCCCTCCCCCCTCCCATTGCCCGCCCAACCACCTCTCCCCCTTCCCCTCCCCCACTGCCCGAAGATGGGAAGCTACGATTGAGGACAGACCGGATGACGATACTCGGGAATGGACAGCGGTCGAAGAAGCTCAATGGCACATGGAAGACCGGGTTGGTTCGACTGTCAGGGGTGGCAGCAGGTTGCAACATCACGACGACAAATTCAGAATGCTCACCTGGACTGGAGATGGGATAGCCACAAAAGGGCGGCTTTTGTGCTTATTTTTCGACATATGTTGAGCTAGCTACACTGATGGCTTTCAGGCGGTGCAGGCCACAATCCCCGGAACCATGGTTCCATAGAGGGTTCTGGGTTTAAGCCAGGGTCTCACTATGATTTCATCAGGATTTGTGGGATCACAACCACAGGGTTTTGGGCTGTGACATAATTGCATGCTGACAATAAAATAGGGGGGCTGCAGATTTGGGCAGGTCGACATCACATTGGCTCCATAAAGGGATGGGTAACATTAGCAGCTCCAACGGGAAAAGGGAGTCCTGGGTTCAGTAACATGATTTGGCCACAGCCCTGGAAACAAGAGCTAACTCTGTGTCATGAAGATGTATGATTGGGACGCTGGACCCGATTTCCAGCAGGTGACGCTCCCCACCAATAGATGGAGCACCCCGACAGCCTGGCCCTCGAGCCCGGCGGTTTTCTCACCGCCGCTGGGATGGAAGGCTTAGGCAGGGGCTATTCGTCAAAAAAAAAAAAAAAAAAAAAAAAAAAAAAAAATGATGGGCTTCTTCAAGGGACATACATAACACACCAAAGCCTGTCTCTTATACACATCTAGATGTGTATAAGAGACAGCCTCCTAGACCACCCGAATCCCCCCATCGTTCCACAAGTGACAGCGGAATCTTGTGGGGAATGGTGGAACAAGCCAATGAGTGATGGCAACTGGCGTTAGAAGCAAGCGACCCTGGAATTTGCGGGGAGATACGAAGCGGTGCTTGAATGGAGTAGCACCTTGATTGAAGAGTTCGGTCCTGGGCGGCTATGGCAAAATGGCATGAAGAAGCTTTTTTTTGGTCTTAACGAGTGCCTTGATCGCCACAACGTAGGTTGAGGTTTCATGGAGTGCAGCAACCTGGATATTTTTTCATTCTTTGAGTAGTCAGTGGCTGGTTGAGATACAAAGTCGATGTCGGACTTCCGCCGATGCGGGAGGAGAGCCTATGGTATCCCCGGCAACAGTAGATGCTGTTGTGAATTGCTTGAGCAGCAGCTTTCGGATACTTGGGAGAGAGAGTGACGAGTGAAGGCATTCCAGAGGGCTTATCGAGAACATACATTGACAAGGGGAGTTGCGAAGGAATCGGCGCACCTTTTGAGATGGGAGAAATTGAAAATAGTAATAGATTATAGGATTAATAGCAAAAATATTGCTTTTTCGAAGTTTGGCAGCAAAAATGTCGTCCGTTCAAAGTTTCCTTTGCAACAATACAGGTTTCGTTGCAGCTTTATCGGGTTCCCATAGTTTGCAGCAAAAATACCGCGTTTTGCCAAGTTTCACAGCAAAGGACCCCTAGGGATCTGGCCTCAGGGACTCAGGAACTCAGCGTTCTGGCCTTAGGCATTCAGCGTTTTTTTTTTTTTTTTTTTTTTTTTTTTTTTTTTGGGGCATGGCTGGCGCATCTGGGCGTGTCCTGTCTCTTATACACATCTAGATGTGTATAAGAGACAGGAGAGAGAGAGAGTACTTTTAACGACTCGACTCCACTCCCTGGGATAAGTCTTCTCAGGGATGATGGCTGCTCCTGCTGAGATCGTTCCGCGCCGTTGGATGCACCAGCGATGTCGCAGCGCAGAAGCTGGTATGGATGTTGAAGAGACCCAGATAGGAAAGGAATCCGATATGGACGATGCAGACGTACTTTCCGTACTTTCCTTTTTCGTCTATGTATGCCTCACATAATATGCCATGTCTTCCTCCATCCCCTCCCCGCAAACAATAAAGGCTATATAGCTCATATACTCCTGGAAATCCCTCCAGCCACTGTTCCCACAAGTCTACAAGTCCACAAACTGAATTCCCCAAGTGGCTGCTCGTCGTACTCGAGTAAGAAATCAGTATGGCCGTGCATTTTTATCTTCCATGGAAGAGCAACATGATCGCCGAGAAAACTTCTAGTGTGAGGGCCTACGGTAATTGCACCACTCGCCATCCACCAACATTTTGAATGCATATGGACGTCAGCGCTGTCCGAATGCATTCAAATATTGGCGGAGGGTGAGTTGGTGGCACTAGTAGTGAGTCGGGACTGAGAGTAAAAAAAAAAAAAAAAAAAGTAGGGACTGAGAGAAACAGGCAGACGGAGTCTCAGAGCACGGTCGGACAGAAGAAAGAGGAGAATGCATGAGGCCAGATGGGAGCGCAAAAACGTCCACATTCAGCCGGAAATGTCCATGCAGGGTGAGTAGGTGGTACTAGTAGTGAGTAGGGACTCTGAGAAACAGACAGTTTAATATCTGATCCGTGGTCCATCGGGCCACATTAAAAAAAAAATAATAATAATAATAATAATAATAAAAATGATGAAACAGATTGATAGGGTCCTTTTTACTGCCGTTTCTTTTTTTTTTTTAACTACCAGGCGCATTCACAATTTGACTTCGCTGGACGTATCTAACCGCAACACAGACAAGATTCACTCGAAAAAGTGACAGGGAGAGTACATCCCACTCAGGCTTGTAGTTGTTCACCCGACCACGCTGGCTTTTTTTTTTTTTTTTTCNAAAAAAAAAAAAAAAAAAAAAAACCGTAACCGAGGCATCTCAGGCGTGGCCATGTCCGAGATGCCTCGGCCACGTCTGCAGGGAAAAAAAAAAGAAAAAAAAGTGCCTGCGGCCGGAACGCTGAATCCTTGAGGCCAGGGGGCCTAGGGGTCCTTTGCTGTGAAACTTGGCAAAACGCGGTATTTTTGCTGGCAAACTACAGGAACTCGATAAAGCTGCAACGAAACCTCTATTTTTGCAAAGGAAACTTCGAACGGACGACATTTTTGCTGCCAAACTTTGAAAAAGCAATATAATTTTGTAAATTAACCCTAGAATCCCTATATTATATGAGGAATAGGATCCGAAGATTGAAAAGGATGCGGGAAGCAGAGGCTTATCGTGATGCAACGATGTTTCTGTATCTTTGAGAAAGTTGACCGTGGTGCAGGAAGGGGTTGCAACTGCAATTCAAAGAGAGAGATATTGGAATTTGCATGGTGAGTAAGACTGATCGACAAGGTGGCGGTTCTTGATAAGATGAAAAGAGCCTAGAGCGGACGAGGAGACCTTCCTAGGGATATTGCCAGAGTTTATTGTGGTGTATGAGAAATTGGGAGTAGTTATTAGGAGAGGGTATCTCTTTAAGTCGGGAAGGGGGGAATGTGCTCTTGGTGGTGTTTGGTTTAATAAGCGGAAATAGAAATGGTTTGGGGAAGTAGGAGTGTATGAAGGTGAAAGCGGTCATAACTTTCAGCTAGGGGGTGTTTAGGCAGGAATTGAGGAGGGCTAGAGTTTGGGGGAAATGATGAGGCAAGGAACATGGAGTAGTTTAGGAAAGTTTATGTGTTATGGTTACGGAATGCGACAAGTGTAGCAGTGAGGAGCAGAGGATGCAGGCGGGTTAAATGAGGAAAGGGTCAAGGGTTTGGGGGTCGAGAACGAAGGTGACTACGTAGTGAAGAAGGAGACAGTTAGTCCGAATTTTGTTGGGATCGGGGTGGAGTGATGGACTCTAGGGCTGCGGACACAAGAACAGGG